CAACCAAAGGCACTGAAACAAACTCAAATGATGCTTCAGGTTCCTCCCTCAGGATCACAAGAGCAACACAAAGAAAACTCAAGAGGAACAAGCCTCCACTGCTTTCATTTACCCCAGCGCCACCCTCTCAGCAGCCTACCTGCACCCTCTTCCGGGAAGGACCCGCAGCAGATAGGAGTTCTTGCATAGAAACTAAGGGAGGGGTGTTGCTCCCCCTCGCTGTGAGCTGATAGCATTCTGAATCCGTGTCATGGGGCTCTGAGCATTGCCGTGTTGTGAGTTCTCTGCCCTCAGGAAGCAGCCAAAGTGCTGAACCCCCCTGCTTCTCTTGGACCGCTGGGAACATGGTGTTTGCACAGGAGCTGCAAGCCCTTCTTTCCTGTCTTTGTCTTCCTCGGCTACCCCGGCCCCTTCCCCAAAAATGGTTTCTTCAGATGCTGGAGGGACCTAAGGACCTGCAGGTTTCCCTCACCCACCTCCTAAGGCAAACAGTCATTGCCTTCTCTGACATTCCTGGAGCCGCGCATCCTTGGAGGAGTTTTACCCCGTCCCCAGGGGGATCTGATTCCCTGTGAAAACATGTGTCTGGCGGCCAGTGGGGAACTGTCTTGTCTGCCCCCTGTTTGGGTGCTGAGAAGCTTTTTCTGAGAAACCGCACCTCCTCCTGGTGGGAGGATCCTAAATTCCACCCTCCCGCACAGGTTTCTCTGACCTTTTGCGTAACGTATATTCCACTTATAAGCATATTTCCATAAAACATATGGAGTGCAACGTCAGATGGTGTCCTATGTACTCTGGTTTGGCTCCTTCCTGAAGGCACAGAATTGACAACAAATGAGCCAGGATAGGAGGCATCTAAAACTGAGAGCCCTGTTCTATTGTGTCAACATCCTATCAGGAGGTATCCTCTCTCAGTTTCTATCCCTGAAATACTATCAGCTCAATGATTTTTTTCCCTGGAAGAGCCTTGAGGTAGGCATAAGAAGCGGAGAGGATTGCGTTGGGGGTAAATAAAACAGAGAAGAATTGTTCCTCTTGGGATTTTTGTGTGTTTCCCTTGTGTTCCTGATGGAGGAACGGGAAGCATAATTCCATTTTTTTCAATGCCTCTGATTGGGTTCAGTTTGTGATTCTGAGCATAGGGGTTCCTTTACTCTCTGCTCTTGTTCTCACAGGGGAATGGATACTGGACCAGTTCCCCAATTTGGACAGAAAGTGTCTGTATTCTGCCTCATTTCTGGTGTCCATCTTTTATTCTCCTAATCAATCAGCCCGGGGACTAAAACACCATGGATCTCACAGGTTTCCCGTGAACCTGCACATTTGGCTCAGAGTGACAGTGTATACAAATCATCTGTGCTGTAGAAGTGCTCTGGGAGTTGAAAGAGTTGTGCCATCTTGGCCTGCTTGCACAGCCCATAACTTGTTAAAGAAAACTTAGGTGGCTAAGCCACTGTCTGGGCAGTGTCAGGGTGGGCGAGTGGATCAAACCCAGCATGATCAATGTTGGATCATCCCCACCTCTCTGCTTTAGACACTACAAGCCAACTCCAGCCTTAAATCCGGTATTAGCTTATAAAAACCATTCGTTTTTCTTTCAAGAGCTTCTACTTTCATTCACAAACCGACCTAATGTGCCTAAAAGGCACATTTCTCTACCCCTCAATCCTTCTTTATTCAACCCCATAAGAATAGTAAGACGAAGAAGATCTCAGTTCATTCATTTAACTAGTACAATTTCCTTTTTGGCTATATTAATAGGAAAGATCTCTCAATAGATTAATGTCACTGATAGGTACGAAAAGAAACTGCACCATATGCTCCCTGAAGAAGCAGAGGAACAAATCTACACTGACACACCCCTAGAGCCCCGGCCAGGGGTATTCTGTCTGCTACCCAAGATCCATAAGCCTGGGAATCCTGGATGCCCCATCATCTCAGGCATTGGCACCCTGACAGCAGGATTGTCTGGCTAGGTGGAGTGTCTCCTCAGGCCCTACACTAGCAGCACTCCCAGCTATCTTCGAGACACCACTGACTTCCTGAGGGAACTACAATCCATTGGTGATCTTCCAGAAAACACCATCCTAGCCACTATGGATGTTAGAAGATCTCTACACCAACATTCCACACAAAGACGGACTACAAGCTATCAGGAACAGTATCCCCGATAATGTCACAGCAAACCTGGTGGCTGAGCTTTGTGACTTTGTCCTCACCCACAACTATTTCATATTTGGGGATGATTTATTCCTTCAAGTCAGTGGCACTCCTATGGGTACCTACATGGCCCCACAGTTTGCCAACATTTTTATGGCTGACTTAGACCAATGCTTCCTCGGCTCTTGTCCCATAGCACCCCTAATCTACTTGCGCTACATTGATGACATCTTCCTCATCTGGACCCATGGGAAGGAGGCCCTTGAGGAATTCCATGAGGATTTCAACAATATCCACCACCCCATCAACCTCAGCTTGGACCAGTCCACACAAGATATCCACTTCCTGGACAGTGCAAATAAGCGATGGTCACTTAAACACCACCCTATACCGGAAACCTACTGACCACTATACTTACCTACATGCCCGCAGCTTTCATCCAGAACACATCACACAAGCCATTGTCTACAGCCAAGCCCTAAGATACAACCGCATTTGCTGCAATCCCTCAGACAGAGACACACACCTACAGGATCTCTATCAAGCATTCTTAAAACTACAATACCCACCTGGGGAATTGAAGAAAGAGTTTGACAGAGCCAAAAGGGTACCCAGATGTCACCTACTACAGGACAGGCCCAACAAAAAGTAACAGAACGCCACTAACCAACACCTACAGTCCCCATTAAAATCTCTCTGGCGCATCATGAAGGATCTACAACCATCCTGAAGGACAATCTCTCACTCTCACAGACCTTGTGAGACAGGCCATCCTTGTTTACAGACAGCCCCCCAACCTGAAGCAAATACTCACCAGCAACTACACACCACACAACAAAAACACTAACCCAGGAACCAATCTCTGCAAGAAACCCCATTGCCAAGTCTGTCCGCATATCTATTCAAGGGACACTATCATAGGACATAACCATATCAGCCACACCATCAGTGGCTCTTCCAACTGTACATCTACCAATGTGATATATGCCATCATGTGTCAGCAATGCCCCTCTGCCATGTACGTTGGCCAAACCGGACAGTCTCTATGCAAAAGAATAAATGGACACAAATCAGACATCAAGAATTGT